ATGTGCCTCTAAGAGGTTTGCCATTTGGTGTATTCAATTTCGTGTTACTCATCAACTCCTCCTTGCTGACTGGAGTGATGTGGTATATTGCTTTTGCCTTGACGTAATTTTGCCTAATAATGGGAACTTCCTCTTGAGTCCTATGTGTCAGGAATTCTTCCAACGAGGAACAAATTTTCTGAGACTTCATCAGCTGCTCTACACTTTCACCTCCTCTTGGTAGTTTAATGAAATCATTTCCAATGATAGCAGAGATTAAGAAAACCAGTGCAGGATCTTTAAACTCTTTTTTAAATTTAGGCAGCAAATATTGTTTTGCCTCAATATCCCCTTTCATTTTCCATTTAAACAGTTTTGGATCCAATGGAATATATTCCTTCATCAAGGTTGAACATAGAATAATCGAAATCATTTGCAAGCACAGGACAGTGATAATGGTTGGCAAGAGAGGCAGTGTCAGAATCTGCTTCTCTATCAGCAAAGGTAACTTGAACACAGTCACCAAACTCTTTTAGCACTTCACAGAATATGTTCTCAGTGTGTAGCGGATGACATGTAGTCCGTTTAATTTTGTCTATACTACGTCTTTCTAATTTTTCATACTTGCCATCAGGAGGCATGCCATCAATAACAACAACACTCTTTATTCCACTTTTTCTCAGCTTTGTAAAAAAGCTGCAAAAGCAAATTTTTATGTCCCAGTATTGGCCTCCTTGTACCCAGTTAATCTTTTCCTCTTGTTCAATTAGAGTATAGCAGACACTTTTAGGCCATCTAGTACCAGTGTTTTACCTTTTAGAGAGTAAGATTCACATACAACTTCTGCATGTGACATTTCCAGCATATATTTTTTAATCTTTTTATCCCCATATTGCTTAAAAGACTTAACAAACAGGTAGATCTATCAATTTATTAGCAGGATAAAAATAGTGGACTATATCTTTAGCTATACTCTAATACTGGTCTGGTTATGCCCCTTCTACAGTTCCAGTCCAACTCAACTGTATAATAATAGTAATTCAATACTATTCCTAAATGAGTATAGTGCATTCATGGCTGCATACAGTAGTATACAGGGCAGACTGGGCAGTATACAGGATTGTATATCATACTGCTAAATTGCTAATTGTACACGGTATGGTATACAAGAAATACTCTGTATTTAGCTCCGTTGATTGCTTTCTTTATTACATCACTGCTGTTCTTTATTATTAGCTTCAGTTTCACAGTATATTCAGCTATACTTAAACCAGAAGTGCTTTGTTGATTTAAGTAATTTGTTGATTAAAATTAGATAATTAAAATTTCATTTCTGGCAACACCATTATCCTCTTTGCTTCCAGTCACCCAACTACTTACTGTACAGTCTTCATCAGGACATTAGTTTATTTTGCACTGGTAATATTTAGGCCTTTAATTATTGTAGAAATTAATTTTTTGTTTTAACTAATCAAAAATCAAAAAATTGTATGCAAAAATAGAGACAACTGCACATAGTATCTATAGTCTAAGTCTAAAGTGTAAAAAACTCTGTTCACTATGCACTAACTAAATTTCTAATCAACTATCTATGTTCACAAGTGTATTCTCTTTATTTGACATACAACTCGTAAAAGCTAACAGGAATATCCTCATTACTTGAAACCTCATCTCCACACACCCTCAGCTCAAGGTAGTCAGTAGTGGTAGTGCCCAGGACCTTGTGAAACCATGGAAGACTAGGACGAGATGTACAACAGACGACTTCAAGACTGCCACATCCTTTACCATCCCACAATGGATCAGATGTATAGAGTGTGCTAAATTGGTGTTGATCAGTAGGATTACCAGATTCACAGAAGTAGTCATTGCCAATAAAAGCCTCAAGAGTTGAGTTTTGATTGCTACCTTGAGTGCAAGGGCAATTATTATTAGCATCATCATGAGCTTCATGAATTCCAGCCATTAGTGTCCAGACATGTTGACGAGGAGACCCACGAGTGATACTAACACCATCAACATAGTAAGAATTAATATCATTGATATTATTATTAATTGAAGCATCAGGAGTTCCTCTTTGATATCCCACTACTCTACCACACACTTGAGAGTAACTGATAGCATTTGATGGGAACTGAACTGATACACAACTGCCTCCATTTGATGTTTTTCTAC